AAAAAATAAATAAATAAATAAAATAAATTATAGATGTATAGAGCTGATAGTTCCGTTGGAGTACGACAGTGTGAAAAATGTATATAGAAAATAGAATTGTTCGCAACTTTAGGGAAGGTACGCATCTCTTTGCCAAACTCCCCAGTTGGAGGAGAGGGATGGTGAGGGGTATCCCCCCCACCACCACCACTGGCAAAAAGAGATGATCACCGATTTGCTCATGTATCTACGATGTGTTGAAACAGTTCTATCGATTTTATCGCACTCAAGTCGTTATCTGAAGGGAAGCATCCAGTCGTAGGTTTGTATTGATTTATAAATAAATAAAAAAAATGAAATAAATAAAAAAAAAAAATTGCATCAGCCTAATTATCGGGCAACAGAATTCCTGTAACTTGGATAGTTCGCCTCTAGAGGAAGTGTGGAATCTACTGTATTCTGGTTTTGGCCTCTTTTATTTTAAGCGGGCCTCAATTTCCCGATTTGGTTGGGGTCATAAAGGATACCGGGGTGGTTTCTTTGTTTTCCGTTCTCTTTTTTCCTTGTTCCTATTTATTTCTTTCTTTTCTTTTCAGAAAGCGAGTAATGGCACTATTAACATAAGCCATATATAATTAGTGCTCAGATCCCAAACGGCGGAATTAAAAAAAAAAAACGAGTGAACGCGTTACATGCTTTGCCCAGACACAAGGTGGAAATATACCTGCGTTCCATTGCAGGTCAGGAGATCAAGCAACAATGGAGTTTACATTAATCTTCTTAGCTCTGTCACTCGCAACGATTTATCTGATTCATTTTAAATCCTGTATACGTACGGTATTGTCCTCGCTCTATGATTTCCTGTGCATTAAATGTAAACCACTGTAATATCTGTCTGCAAGGTAAATGTCTATCTATCTATCTATATATATAAAAATGAATTTCTGTATGTCTGTCTGTCTGACCCTTATAGACTCGGAAACTACTGAACCGATTGGCGTGAAAATTTGTATACAGAGGTTTTTGGGGCCGTGGAAGGTTCTTATGATGGTTCGAGACCCCTCCCCCTTCTGTAAGGGGGGGGGGGGCTCACATACAAATGAAACAGAAATTTCTGCATAACTCGAGAACTAATCAAGCAAATGGAACCAAATTAGGCATGTGGGGGCGAGTGTGGGGGTATAAGGAGATAATCATAGGGGGTAGCCCCTTAGATAATAGGGGGGGGGGCTACGTACAATATAGCATGCTTTTTTTTAAATCGGCGCATAAACTCAAGCTAATATTGAATCCCGAGCAAGACCGGGCACACTCAGCTAGTATTTAATAAAATAAGGCACGTTATACATTGCACTCTATAGAACATTTAATTAACGCTGCACAGTAGGCCTGGCCGCTTTTGTGCTTGCATCACAACTCCATTGACTAGCCACACAACTGGCTATTTACTGGGCCACATTTTGAAACCATCATGTTGATGGCATATCGAAGCAACCTGTTATTTTTTGTTATTTTGCCATTGAATCAGAATATACCTATGTTCCAAAATGTAAAATACCATAGGTATCAGTACGTCAAAATCGACGATATGTTGGATTCAAACGGAATACCCCTAACAAACATTAAACGTTAATATTGATAAGATACAATATGGATGAAAATCAGGGGTCTCGAAACGACGCATTTTTCGAATGACCGCTTGTGTGAAAAAGTTTGTCGTATCGACATGCAAAATGAGACCCCATTTCATGCCTTGACAAAAGTTCAGAGTTTTGTGCATATACAGGGGATGTGCGAACGTTGGACTCTTGTAACTTCGTTGAAAATTGTTCGATTTTCAAACTTCAAGAAGCATTCCACTGGTACGTTTGATTGAGTTGAATTGTGCATCTGTTATGACTAAATTTTATGTCAAAATTGACGCTCGTATATGTCAGTCTCAGAGCACCTAAATTTACATGATTTTTTCTAAGTGTGTAGGTAACGATTGGTTGCAATATTTTGATAAATACCTTTGCAAATGATTCACGATTGGACTTTTAAATAGTATTTTCACATTTCTACATGAAATGGTGACGATCGGTTTTCCACGTTAACTTCAAATTTCTTTAATTTTCGATATATCGATCTTCAAGATTGATATATCGAAAATTAAAGAAATTTTGAAGAAATGGTTGGACGAGTGATCGTTGAATTTTTTTTTACAGCATTGGAATTTTTTCGACAACCATTTCGAGTGACTCCGCTCCAATCAGGTTGTGAGCTTTTCGATCATATCGAAAAGCCACCAGACAAAAATGGTCGCCGGATTAACTATTTGGGTACCCATCTCACAGACACCATAAAGCGTCGTGCGTGAAGGCAAATAAGCAGGGTGTTCGGTTATCACACTTTGCTCTGCAGACATTTTGTTTTGCCTCAATCCATTATCAAGGAACGCTTAAACCAACAAGAGGCGGAAACTTACACCCTCGGAAGGCAATGCTTTTGTCGCGCCAGGCTCAAGAGGTTGTTTGCTTTGTGTATTGAATCTTCAACAGGACGTGACTAAGAGGCTGTGTTTGTTTACTCGTTAAAGTTACCCGACGGCAACGGCACCATCTTGCTCAACCGGAACTTGAAGGAATATTCTATAACGAGTATGTGGTTTGTATTTCGATGAGCATAACTTCATGCTAAACAGTAGTGAACAGATTAATTACAAATGAAATCACTGACACTTTCAACAGTTTTGAAAATGTTTCGAATGTGATGTCCAACACTGTTGTAGCACATCATGTTTCCCTCGATAGATGCATCGCAATCTTCAGAGTAGATCCTTTAGTGTTAAATATTCATTATTTACTTTGTTTTACTAATTTGTTCAGTTGTATAACCCTCCTCCTGGCTTGTTATTGTTGTTGTTTGGTAGCCCTTAGAGTGGATTAGAGCGTGTAAACACAGTCAACCCAACCCAGAGAGGTCAGTAAGCATTTCTTTATTCAGTATCACACAACAGGCAATGTGCAAACTTTTCTTGGTCCGGGGATTGTGCTTTTTTATCGTTTTATTTATTCGATTACGATTCTGAATGGGCCGGCAATAGCCATTGAGAAAGTGTTGTTGGTCACAACCATTTTTACTTGCTGGTAAATGCAAATAACTAATCCGCATGAAAGGAACCACTTGTAGCATTCCAATTTATGGGGACATTTATTCTATTCAAAGCATCATGGTATCGACAGCAAATATCGTGGTTCTTGGCGGGCAATTCTCGCATATCAAATATTATAAAATTAAAATACAATTTACATCAGCCTAAGTGGGATAAAACAAATAAATTCTGGATTTCTTTTACTGATGAAGATTTTCATGCAGATTTGTGGATACATAAATTGGGGTGAGTCGATCCACTTGTATACCTCTGATAAATTAGTGGTAACACGTATCTCAGATGGTAAACATTATCTCAAAAGATCAATATCGCTGAAACTCCACCAAATGAATGTTTAGAGTCTCCCTTTCATTTAAGGCTAATTTCAAAATGTCTTATCGAGGGGTCTAGAACAAAAAAATCCCTGTATTTACGTGTCTAACGAGACTAACTCAGAGAGTGAAGCACTTTTGCTCAGTTGAATGGAGAAATTTATAAAATCGTACACTCCCGATCATAAGTACACGCCCTAAAATCGTCCAATTTTCGTTCTTTTTAGTACTGTTTAAAGATTTTGAATGGAAATACGAAATTGCTCAATATCATTTTCAAATTTTGTATACCAAAGGTTCACCCAAAGTTACACTATTTTTCAAAATTTACTCTGAAGAATCATGAATAATTTTCTCAGAATTGACTTGAAAAAAAATAATTTGAAATTAAAAGTAGTAGTAGAACCCTTATGCTATGCCATTCATACCATTCAAATAACCCAAGGAGATCAACAATTGGACGTAAAATGAGAGAGCTTTGAACAAAACACATTTGCATGTTCACCATCCGGAAGAACTTTGCCGCATGTACAACTTTGACGATGACAATTACTACCTAAGACCCTAAGCTACAGCATATTCTAATATTTTACATGCACACTAGCGCCGCATACCGAAAATATTCTAAACTATTTACTGTTCATCAGCCAAAAGACCTTGACCTCCTGAACAACTTTGCCCAAGACAATATCTTTCTATTTGGTCAGGATCTCGAGATATTTTATACGTGAAAATTTTATGTGTATACTAGCGAAGCGTAGTGAGAAAATTCGGAAACATTGTATACCAAAAATAGGCTTTAACCTCCTGAACAACTTTGCTCAAGGCAAAACGTAATCTTTTATTAAGGTACACCGGGGCAAGTTGAAATGCGGAGTAAGTTCAAATGAAAGGCGTAACTAATAGCGGAATTGAATAATCACTGTGATTATTGTTAACAGTATAATATGAACCTAAACGCATCCTATGACTGTCAAATCAGGTAATCATGTTCTCAAATAAAAACGTGTTTTATTAGAATAATCTGAGGTGAATCTCAAACGATACAAAACTCTGGAAGTGCTCCAAGGAACAACACATTTATGTTCAATGGACCATTCGAGAAGTACAAATAAAATCACGACAAATACCAAACACCAGCAAACAAAAATACAGCTCCATTCATCAATCTCATGCGTATTATCTGATTGACGAACGGTGATATTATGTGTCAAGAAAATATAACTAAATAATACTGCAGAAGAGATATTAGATTTCACTCAGCATCTATTTCAATATAAAAGAACGGTCGATTCTATGCTAATATTAGAGCCAGTATTGACAAAATGAAGTCAGCCGAGAATTCAGCCTTAACCATGTTTCTGCAAGATCGGCACCAAATTATAAAATGTATTCTCGTACTTTAGTCTTATACTACAAAAGTTCGAACCAATTGAAGCTGTATTTTAAGCCCCCAACAAAAAATATCCCTTCACGCCCAAATGAAGCTAAAATAAATGTACATCGTCTGAAGTAGAAAATTGTCTCCATTTGTTGGACTGTATGCTTTTGCTTACCCATGTCTCCCTGTTGGCTTCCGGATCGACGAAAATCAAGTGTGTTGCTGTGAGGTAGAGCACCCCTACCGTAGGATTTTTGCTGTTGTATCTGTCTATCATCCGCACATTTTCGATCTGTAACGAGAGGAAAACCAACGACCGTGTTAGATATGAATACCTGTGTGCAAAAAAGAAATCAGATGGAAAATTCAAATTCATAAAACAAGCACTTCATCGCAATCCTAAAATATTCACATTTATTCACTTCTATTCTGAGGATTTCATCCTCGTCGGCTTAAAACACTAATTTATGAGCGATTAAAGAATTAATTAGCCGAAATCCGCATCCAGACGTCTGCTGAAAGGAGCCTTGAGGTGGCAACAGAAAGGATATCTAATTATTCAGAATTCAGAGCTCGTTCAAGCTCGGCGTCACGCTGTCATGTTCCGCTCAACACTTCAATGGGGGGAAATGGTAGGTATCTTGCCAAGAACGCTACAAGCTCCACATGTAGTCTGCTGAACAATAAGGGGTTTTGTGAATGAAATTGCTTGTAATGGGGTTGGCGAAAAGCATCATTTAGAGTGGAAACAACGGTCAAAATGGGTTACAATTATGCTAATGGTGGGTGGTGATGTGAAGCAGTCCACCGGGACAAATGGAAAGAACGGCGATTTGTGATCATGGCAGACCGGCGTGGACACAAATAATGATGGATACTATTTTTGAATTGAAAAAGGGATTTTTGTTATTTGATTTATGAAATCATTAGATGTTATACAAATGTATTGTTCTTGTAAGATACAATAAGAGGTTGTGATGTATGTGTTTGTCACAATTTCGTCAATTTCGCTTTCAGAGAGACACAATCAGAGAGACACAATCAGTGATTTTATGATTCGTGAGCGCTCTGAATGAATACCTTAAGTACCCTGATCCTAATATATAGCCATACATTTATAATAAATCGCGCATTCATAACATAAACTTTTAGTACCAAGAATCACAATCTTTGGCATATTTCAAGAGATTCAGGTGAACATGGTTAGATGATTAGGTTACTTTATTAAAGAGACTTTCAGCCTTTGGCTGATTCGTCTCTGTCCAGGTGAACATGAAAAATCAGGATATAGGAGAAATGACTCTAATGTTGACCTAAAGATTGGGCCTATCGAGGAAAATCTCCTGTTTTTCAATTTTTCGTTGAACAATGCGGTCATCTGGTCAACACAAATCGATAAGGTACATTAGAGGAAGTAGGACTTGGGTGGTAAGTAGGATCATTACAAGACATAAATCTTATTAATTTTATTTCATTTTCTCTACAATGTGAAAATTCTTGTTAAATTTTGTATAAGGCATAAAATGATGGAATAAATTTGAGCAAATCTTAGAAATATTTTTAAAACCACGAATGAAGACTTCACATTGTACTCGAAAGACGTACACTGGTGGGTATGAAAATCTTTAAACCCATGTAGCTCCGGAAATACGGCACCAGTCAAGTTTGGATGTTCAAAATTGACCCCGATTTTTACACAATTTAGTATTTTCTAATTAAAACTAGGGTTTGGGTAAAATTGACTTTTCAGTTTAACGATTCATCAAAACGCTAGGATGTTTTATGTCCGACGTTTCGGTCGTTGAAATTAGGCTTCTTCAGGGGATATAACATTGTACCATCTTTTGTTCAGCTCAAAAATCTATACGATATTAAAATAAAATTAACCCAAATAAAGATCCCAACCCCTGGATCGAAACGTTGACGATGATAAAACTGCAAAACTCTTCCGTGAAGACTGAAAGTCGAAACAACTTATTCTTCAAGATCATTAAACTTCCCTGAAAACAAAACTTTTCTGATGTTTTCGAAGCATGCTTGAAGTGATTGGAACTGCTCTAAATATCTCTGAGCATCAATAATGTTCCCTAGACTTGAATTTATCAGAGGATTTAAAATATGTCGCAATCTTCCTGACGAGAATTGAACTGCCCTGAAGTTCTTTGATCTGAAAATTCCACAATATGTCTGATGTTTTTTATACTTTCTTGGAGCTCATAAAACTTCCGTTAAAATATCAGTTCCCTAAAGTTCTGGAATTTTCTCTAACGTTTCCTAATTTTTCAAGTAGTTCTCGGAACTTCTCTAGCGGTCCAACAACTTTTCTGATATTTATGGAACTTCCCGGCAGACCCCGCATATCTACTGAAATGTTCAGTATATTCCTGAAACTCTCGGAATGTTCCATAATTCTTCGGAACTACTTTAAAGTTCCTTCAATTAATTAATGGAACTACTCTAAAGATCTCTAAACTTCTTTGATCTTCCCTAAAATGTTGGAACTTTACTGAAGTTTTTAAAAATCCTTGAGTTTCTTGGATTTCTTGTAAAGTTCCTGTAATTTTCATGAAGTTAATTGAACGAAAAGCCTTCCTGAAGTCATCAAAAAAACTTTGAACTTCCCTGAAAATCTCTGAATTTCTGTGAAATTCAAAAAATATATCCAAAGTTTTCTAAAATTTTTAGCAGTTCTTTGGACTTCCATGAAATTCCTGGAACTTTTTGAAGTTTCTCAAAATTTTGCTGACGTTCATGGTGCTGTCTTGAATTCATCGAAACTAATGTTCACAGATATTTGAACATGCCCGAAAGTCTGAACGTCCCTGATAATAAGTAGACCTATCTTCCCTGAGGTTCTTGGAGATTCTTTAAAGTTTCCACAATTTTCCTCAAGTCAAGTCCTCCTTTTTATCCCGAAGTCTGAAACTTCTTCAAAATCCTCGGTATTTCCTTTGATTCTTCGGAACTTCATCGAACTTCCTACAATTTTTGTTGGTCACCCTGAAGTTCTTTTATATTTCCTTGAGTTCTCACTACAATTCTGATGATGTTCCTGGAATTGCCCTGAAATTAATAAAGCTGCGCTAAAGACCTCTAAACTCCGCGACGTTCTCTGCAGTTCCGTGATATTTGTTTACTTTTTGTGAAGTTTCTGACATTTTTCTTGATCTCTAGACGGTAGGGGAAAAGTTGGCTTCGGCAATACCTTATCCTATTATCGTCAGGGGGGTAAACAACGTCTTGAGTGCTCAACTTTGGCATGTGGATACATTGTGTTTCAGAGCAACTATTGGCCAAATTTGAGTGCTCTAGGACTTTGTTTACCCCCTGACGATAATAGGTTAAGGTATTGCCGAAGCCAACATTTTTGGAACTTTTGGTAGGTTCTCGATATTTTCCTGAATTTAATGGAATTACCCTAAAGTATTCAAATTTCACCTGAAGTTCCTATGATTTTCATAATTATCATGATACTGCCTGAAGTTTCGTAGCTTCCCTTAAGATATTTAAACTCAACTGAAGTTTTGAAGTTTTTGCAACTGTGGCTCCTTAAAGTTTCCTGAATTGAATGGATATGCCTGAAGCTCTTTGATTTTCACTGAAGATCTCGAAACATTCCAGAAATCTGTGGAACTGTCCTGAAGCTAGTGGAACCTACTCAAACAGCTTCCATGTTGTTCTGCACGTTTTTTTATGTTTTTGGAACTTCCTTTAAATTCTTTTAATTCTATCAGGGATCCGGAGCCTACCCTAAAGATCTAAAAACTTTCATGTTATTCTGCACGTTTTTGTTGTTTTCGGAACTTTCTTCAAATTCTTGGAATGCCCATGAAATTCGCAAATCTACCTGATTTTTTTTGCGATTTTTCTGAAACTGACATAACATAACATTTTCAAAATTTTCCTCAAGTTCTTGGAACTTCATTTCAGTCCCAGAAATTTATCTGACGTCAGATTTAAGGGCGCTGCTGATTGAATGTATGATATGTTAAGTATATTTGCAACGCAATTTTGCTGATATGAGCGCCCTAAGTAATGCCCTAACTTCCCGTAAAATATTTCTGCGCCCAGTTCGAAAAAGAAATGTAAATCTCTGTTACATATATTGCACATAAATGGAGCATCATATATTATACTAGTTTACAATATCGATCTAAGTTATGATACATTTAATAAAATAATCCATTTATTATTTGCAATCGTCCATATGCTAAAATCAATTCATGCAAGTTTATTTATTTATTTATTGTTCCAATGATTCATCTGACATATGGTTGTCGTAATGAATTGAAAAAAAGTATAATTAAAACAAAAACAGGACACGTTCTTATTCAGGACAGTCTTCTAATAAAAACAGTTAACGGCACATTAAAGTCAAACAATGCATGGACGTCATTAAACGTATTAGCGACGGCTCGGATAGATTTATTGAACCCAAATTGCCGATTACGAGCTGCGAGATGTACAAAATTACGCTGTCTAATCACTCTCTCAGGTGCGCAAAAGAAAAGCTGCCGAAGTAATTCGGGGGAATCAATCTCGCTGGTAATGATCTTAGCAGCAAACACAAGGTGTGTTTGTTCCAAGGTGTCAATTCTAATTCTGTGTGTTCCAAGGTGTCAATTCTAAGCAGAGGACAGCGATCCACTTAAGACGGCAAGTTAGTTTCTCTGTACACTCTAAAATCTGGCTATCCAGCATGCTTGGTGTGGGTACCAGACGACAGCACTATACTCTTATATCCCATGACTTACATCATGTAACCTTATAACCCCATGGCTTATATCATGTAACATAGGCTGTCTTGCAATGAGCACTCATACATCTAGTTTTCACTGGAAATACTATGTATGAGTGCTCATTTCAAGACAGTCTATATTACATGATATAAGCCATAGTCTATACGGGGTATAAGATTGAACGTACTAACGAACAATACAGCTCCCGCAGGCAAAGCGGATCGCGAAAGTCTTCAGATATTTTGAATATAAAGCCAAGCTGTCTGTTAGCTTTAGTCAGGATGTCATTGTAGTGCGGTTCGAAGGTTAATTCACAGTCGAGTGTTACTCCCAAATCTTTGACCTGGCTAATCCTCTCTAATGTTTGCCCGGAAATGAAATAATCAAATATTATCGGGTTTTGTTTACTGTGAAACGATATCACATTGCACTTGTTGATGCTGAGCGTCATGAAATTACGGGAGCACCAACTCTGAATACGATCCACAATCAGCTGCAACTCCTCACAATCAGCGATGCAATTGATAACCAGATACATTTTGACATCGTCAGC